ACACCACCTCCCTTGTTCATGCTGCTCCCTGCCTCCCAGCCTCCCTTCCTCCTCTCCAGAGCACTTGGCGGAAATGCTTGGCTTGTGCCGCCGCTGCAGTGTATCCCTGCGCGGAATACACACGGATGCCCCATCCACCCCGACAACATAATTCATTTACTGCGAAGGGATGTAATAAAGTCTGTTTATTACAGCAATTAACGGAGCGGTGTCTGCCGGCACGCTTTCCAGTGGCAACCGGGAGAAGTGCTGACTCCAGGTGCACAGATCCGGGAGACCGTGCCACCGGAGCCAAAATGAACCCAGTGGAGGCTTAGCGAATGGGTCTCGGGCTCCCTAGAAAACAGCCGTGCAGGAGCAGCTGGGCGGAGGTAGAACTTGGATGCCGGAGTCCAGCACCGTGAGTGCTACTGGGCCTGTCTCCAAGGTCATGGGCTGGAGGTCCTGCACGAAATGCAAGCCCCAGCCCAACCGCCCAGCCGCTGGGTTCATAGTTCACTGAGCTTCTAGGTGGGGAATGTTAGTACCATGGGCTCTCAGGGCACCTTATTACTGGGGTGACGTGGGGGCACAGGGAGAGGACCCGAGGCTGGGACAGAAACCAAACAGCTCTACGAAATCCTATCCTGAAATCCGGGCTTCCCCTCAAGCCCCTGAAGGGAAACATGGCTGGAGGGGAGAGGCGGGGCGGGGCGGGGGGGGGGGGGGGGTGTAGGAGAGGAACCAGGAGACGGTGTTGCGGCCTGGAGATAGGTGCCAACTTGCTCTAACTTGCTTTGGGCATGAGACTGGGCATAGGCATGAAGCCCCGATGCCTGGGGCTTTGGCGGAGGGCAGAGGAAAGGGAATGCTGGTGTGGATCCCCCAGTGATGGTCCGTGTAATGATGGTTAACACAAACCCGCCTCTCCATCCCGCCAAGGGACAGCTGGTGCTGCTAACAGGACGTTCTTCAGAACCAGATCTGGTCTTCCCGGGGCAGCGCCCATGTCTAAGCACGTGGAAACCTCATCCAGAGTGGCATCTCCTTTGCGCTCTGGGGCATACGTGGGTGAGTTTGATTCTGAAACTATTAACCTGAGCGCCGAAGCTGGACACCGAAAAGGCTCCAACATGCAGGGCAGCCCACCCTAAACGGTCCCCGGGTGGTGGGTACCCCTTCCCTCCATCTCTCCTTTTCCTCCCAGGCCCCGGGGAGAAGGGGCTGCATTGGAGGGTGAGGGCAGAGTCAGGCTGGCCTTTCTGGAACAGAGAAAGTGAGGGCTTTGAGCATCATGAACATTGAGATGAAAATAGCAGCATTGCCATGGCAACGAAGGCTGGGAAGAGTCCTGAGGATCTGGTCTGGGTCCTGCCATCTCCCCCTCCAGCCTTCCTCCGCGTCTTGCTTCTCGGATAGAACGGGAATGAGCTGAGTGGAGGGAAGGCTGCCTAAGGAAACCCCAGAACTCCAGAGCTCAGGCTGGGGGTGGGGTGGGAGGGGCGCGATAAGGGAGAATTTCCCGCCTTCTGGAATTTCTCCCTCAGCATCAGTTTCTCCAGAGATAACCTGAGCCCCACGCCTCACCCTCCTGGAGGGTGGTCCTGGTGTGCTGGGCTCCCCCCGGAACAGCCAAGGTTTCTGTCTCCTCTCCATGGTCTGTGGCTCTGAGAAGGGGGCCCAGGCAGGACTGGCCAGGAGCCTGGCACAGTTGGCACTGGCCTAGGGGCATGGCCTGGGCGGTAGATTTACTCTGAAAAGCCACACTCTCTGCTCCTGGGTTGTTTAGCAACACAGCCTTAGGGAACCGTTTGCATTGAAACTGGGAGATGCTGGAGAGGGCTGTCTCTTGTTCTCGAGTCAAAGGGATGGGTGCTCAGTCTTTGGAAACAGATTCTGGTTCTTGGTTCTGGTGGTGTTTTATCCCCAACACCTGTTGGGCCCAGCAACCACCTTCAGGTTTTCCGGACCAGCCTGCCAAGAGCCCACCCAACGCAGGAGCTGGAGATTCCCTCCCCTGGTGAAAGCCCATCTCTGTGGTTATGACCAAGTGTCTGTCTCCAAAAATTCAAGCCACAGCAGATACCACGTGCCCTTTTGCAAGGCACGCCTCCCGGTGAGGTGGGGGGATGGGTCTGGCCACCACCTTTTTGCAGGGGCTGGGAGACAGGAAGCAAATTGCAAGGTCAGGAGTCAGCCGTGGAGGAGCACTGGGCAATGGGGGGCTGCAGCTGTGTATCGACGGCCAGTCACTGGCCCATCCTACCACCAGCACACCCCAAGCCACTGGGCGAAATGCACATTCAGTCTGCGGACAGGGCAGATTGCTGAGTCATTTCCCCTTGCAGGTGGCAAGGTGATGAGGTGGGGTGGGTCCAGTCGGCTCAGAGAAGGGCTCATGGATTCCATAAGAGGAGCAGGGAGTGAGTCTTTGGGACCCCATTTGCAAGGAGTGGTGTGTGTGTGTGTGTGTGTGTGTGTGTGTGTGTGTGTGTGAGAGAGGACAAAAGTGGCACTTGTGATGCTCTAGACAGGGCCTGGAGTTGGAGTCCAGGCTGACACGTGCTCCCTCGGGGCCTGGGTATAGGAAGGCGGCAGATGCACTGGCTCCCTGGGCAGGGAATGTTGGGGGAGGACCCTAGCAGCTCTGGGTGCTTTGGCTTTCCCTCTTCGTACCCCCCCTCCCCTCCATTTCTTGGATCTACCGTAGCATCCCTATTTGCTGCAAGCACAGAGCTGACCAACGGGGGGGGGGGGGGGGGGGGCACAGGAAACCTGCATTCCCCTGGCCTCACAGCCCGGAACCCCACTGATGCTCAGCTTCCCGGACGCAGAGCCTGGGAAGGGGGGAACCTGGAGAACATGAATGCAACCCCTCCTTGTGTTAAGGAACCTGAGTCGCAGAAGTAGGACGCGATTAGCCTGAGGGCACCCCGTCATCAGTGTCCACATGGGCCCTAGCTCTCAGTACCCCACTGTGCTACCTCATGCCTATTTCAGGTAAATTATTGCTTTTTTTCCTCCCCCAATTATCTCCTCATATATAATATTTCTGTTGACCCATATGCTTCATTCAAAGCCCCTGTCCCCACCCCCACAGGAATGGGTAAGGAAATGACATTCTAATTAAAAAAACAAAAAAAACCTCAGCCTGAGACAGGAAGCCCCTCAGGGTCTCGGGCCAGGGTCCCTGACTGCATTCAAGTCACAGGAGCCTTAAGTACCACCACCCGTCACAACTTTATCCCCCGCTCCGCAGCCACAGCCGCAGCCACAGCCACAGCATAGGAAGGGAAATGGTGTGAGACCTTCTCACTTCAGAGGGAGAGGAGGCCCAGGAGACTACGGTTCCCCCTCTTCACCAGGACTCAGGGCCATGCCCCACAGACAAATGGCCAGAGCGTCCTCAGGATCATCTCCTCACTGTGCCCCCTCACCCCCTATGCCCCCCACCCGCGCTCCCCGGCCTCACCCCGGACTTCCCAGTCCCCACCTCCCAGCTGGCGTCTGGGAGAGGTTCGTGGGAGGGAGTTAGCAGGGCAAGACCATCCCACCTAACCACTGGGGAGGAGTGAGGCTGGCACCAGGGCCCAGGCCCCGCCCCCTCCTCTGAAGAGCAAGAGGAAGAAGAGCCTGGACGGCCCTCTGAGGCTCTGGGCCGCACGGCCCTTTCCGGAAGGAACCTCTCCCCGGGGAAGCCCAGAGGCGGAGAGGCAGGAACGGGTCTCCAGACGGCCCCCCTTAAGGCTGAGAAGGAAACAGGGACTGTAGGAGAGGTGTCAGGCTAGACGCTGCTATGCCTGCTCCTCAGGCCTTTCCACTGCGGTGCTGGCCCCAACCTTAGCCTTGGACGCAGACAGGACCACCAGCTGGGAGGCCAAGGGCAGTGGTCTGCCTACAGGCACCGCTGGGCTTCCACTCAGACATACTAGCACCTTGTCCTTGGGCCCTCTCCCGTGTTCCCACAGAGGGGCCCGGTAGATTCAGTATCCCTCCAGAGCCAGGGGAGTGCTGGGGGGAGAGGGCACGCTCAGAGACACGCTCAGGACAGGCTCAAGGCCAACCCCCTGCGGCTGACATCCCTGCCAAGGCCGGAGAGGCTGCGAGGGAAGCGCCCGCTCCCCCCCACCCTACCCCTCCCGCCTGTGTTCTCCCCTCTCCTGACCTTTCCTCGGGGTGAGCCCGTGTGGTCAGGACAGAACACTCAACACCTCTGAGTCCCGGGGATACGGTTTCACCCTCCACCACAGCAGCGCCTTCTCTGGGCCTCAGCCCGCAGGAGCCGCCGGGACACGGGTGCCCTGGGGGCCGGCCCGCCTGCCTCTACCCTTGAAAGCTCTTTGCCGCGCCAAGGCCGCCGCCACAGTCCAAGAACCAGGGCGTTTTCCTCTGTCCTTGTGACCCCGAGGGCCTTTATTGCCGCTTCCTGGAGAGAAGGACTTCTGTGTACAGTTCTTTGGGTATAAAAGGGAATTGCAGATCTTGGAAGGCTGTGATGGGGGAGAGGGGGCCGGGGCCAAGGACCGGAGGAGAGACATCTGAACTTGTGCTTCGGCTTCACGAGCAGGAGCTGGCCGGGCCAAGGCTGCCCGGATGCAATGCACCCTTGCTCCTCCCGGGCTCCGGAGGGACCAGCAGAAGAGGTCTCCTGCCCTCCCCACGGCCCAGAGAGGCCCACATGCCAAGGAAAGGGGCACACGGCCCCTCTTTCTGTCCCGGGCCCGGGTCTCCCCTGCCCAGGACACCTGTGCTGTGGGAAAGGCAGCTGTGTCCCTGAGTGGAGGGCTGCTGGGCTGACGGCTGCTGGGCTGAAGCAGAGGCAGACAGACTGCAGAGGCAGGAGCTGCTAGTGTCTGCGCGGGCTCTGCTGTCCGCGTGGCCCTCTAGGCCCACGACAGGCTAAGTTACATCACAGTCGGGGGAGGGGGGGAGGAAGGAAGTAGTTTTTTGTTTGCTTCCTACCTCCTGGAAATAGGCTGGGAACGGGGCAGAGGAGACTAAGAGTAAAGTCCTAGAGGTCCCCCTCCCCCAGAGTTTCCCCTAAAGGCGTCCCATGCAAACAGGTCCCCCCTGTGGCTTCTGAGAGAAGCAAGTGGGGGAGACAAAGAGACAGGGGAAGGGAGCACACGGCTCAGGGCTCAGTCTGGGAGAGGGCCCCTCAGTCTGCCCTGGAGGCAGGCCCTGAGGGGTGTCGGAGCCTAGGGAACAGCTCTCCCACCTGAGCTGCCGGTAGAGCCGGAAGGAAGGGAGTGGGCAGAGGCCAGGGCTGCAGGGGCGGTTGCTCTGTGGAGTGTGGGGAAGAGGGAGACACACCTGGCCACCCTACTCAACCAGCCTGCCCCTCAGGCCTGGCTCCATCTGGCCCAGGGGATTCTGGGAAGAGACTCATCTCCCACAACCACAGAGGCTACTGCTGCGGGTTCTAGGAGAGACCCCACTCTGGGCTCCGATGGGCTCGTCTCTCTGTCCAACGGGCACAGCCGAGCTGTGGCCTCCTGAGGAGTCAGCGCTGCGGGGAGCTCCTCGGGCGAGCAGACCAGACCGTGTCCAGTTTCCTCATTAGCAATAGTAAGGCTGAGGTGTCTCAGGGGAGAGGTACCCTGAGCAGAGCCTGGAGCCTCGGGGCAGGAAGACGTGTCTCTCCAGGGGCCTCTCGGGGCTCCTGGTAAGGTCCTGGGCCTCCCTTGGAGTGACTGGGACCTCTCCAGGGGGGTCTCCAGGGACTAGAAGCCAGGGGCCTGGACTGATGCCCTCGGATTGGATGCAGTCAGGCCAAGTGGAGAAGGGCCGATGCTGCCACCAGCCTCAGCCAGAGGTGCCCGAGGCCCGGCACCCGCTCACACCGCTGTTTCCCGCTCCCTGCGCACGTTCTCCTTCTTCCTCTTCATCTTGCAGAAGCCGTGGAAGCCACAGAAGCAGGCGAAGGTGAACTGGGGCATGCCCTAGGCCAGGCCGGGGGCTCACCTGAGAGCTGCAGAGGAAGGCCGGGAGGGCAGGGGCGGGAGAGAGACAGGAGAGAGGCAGCTGCGGTTAATGTCTACCGGGGGAAGGGCCACGACACCAAACAGCAGCTCAGAAACCCGTTTCCTGACCTGTGCGGAGCTGGAGCTGACGGCATTCCTGGAGTGGAGCGGTCCGAGTCCCCGGCAGGGAGGAGAAACTGCCAGCTGACCGCACTGCTCCCCTCCCACTCCCTCCGCCTAACCTCATCACCACACCTGCGGTTGGAGACAGGAAGCAGGCTGACTCAGAGCAAGCTCTGCCCGGGCCCCTGTACACAGGTTAGGAGGGAGCGTTCCACTCAGGTCACAGGGTCTGATGATGCCAACGCAGGACTGTGTGGACCTTGAAGAAGGCCCCTCGTCCAGCACAGCCTCGACCTTGACACCTGGAACTGAGTCCCGGCTTCCTCCCTTCCCTGGCAGCCCCCATGTGTCTGAGGCCCTCGGGGAAGTCTATAGGGGACATAATGCACTTGCTTTGACCGCTTCAGGGCAGCACACATCTGTCCTCACGCAGAGAACAGAAAGAAGCACAGCGGTGTGGCTCAGTGGTTGAACATCCACCCCATGAACCAGGTCATGGTTCGATTCCCCGTCAGGGCACATGACCATGTTTGGGGCTCCGTCCCCAGTACGGGGTGTGCAGGAGGTAGCCAACCTATGATTCTCTCTCATTGATGTTTCTCTCTCTCTCTCTCCCTTCCTCTCTGAAATCAATAAAACCATTTATGTATCTTTTTTTAAAGCAGTGTTCTTTTAGCCAACAGGCTCTTTTATTGAGCACCTATGCTGGGCAGAGGGCTCAGGAGGAAGGGCCATCAGGATAAAAGTATAGTTTCTCCCCGGGCACAAAAGAAATCTGAGGTTGAGGCTGTGCTTGCCCCAGCTGGGCATGTGGTCCTCTACCTTTGGGGTCCCCCTGGTGTCTGAGGCAGTCAGTCTGGGGGTAGGAGGGGCTTCAGAAGATACACTCAGTCTGTGCGAGCACCCCTTTCTCCACACTCCTGTGGCCCCCCAACACACACACACACACATTCCTCCAGCTCACTCCTCTGCCCTCCCGCCTGCCGAGAGGGCAGAAGCGCATTCATGTCAATTCAAGCGGAGCAGCTGGGCCCAGAGGAAAGCCCCCTGTGTGGGCCAGGGGCTGGCCTCCGCCCTGCGCCTGCCTGAGTCACTGCTCTGCGAACACAGAAGGCAGCCCGGCCCAATGCCCAGAGGAGGGGGAGGCAGGGGCTGTGGAGAAGCAAGCACGAGGCATGTCCCTGGGCCCAGACCCTCTTGCAAGAGATTGCATGGATGTCCCAGGCCCCAGGTGCTGGGCACCCCTGCAGTGTGTCCACTGTGTTTGAGGAGCCTGGCCTGTGCCCAGGGATGGCTCTCTGGACAGTTGCAAAAGTCTGGCCAACCTCGTTCTGGCAGACAAGCTCCTTCGTGCTTCTCCAGATAGGGCAGGGGGCCCAGCTGGCAGGCCCTCCCCAAGCACAATGCCCACGGTCCCCTCGCCCGTCGGGTCCCGGGAATGCAGTGACCGACGGTCACTTATAGGTGCGATGCATTTGCAAGGGCCAGCTGGGTGGGCAGGAGGCCCGGCGTGAGTCAGCACGGGCAGGTAGACTGGTTTCATCACCCGCTTCCCAGCGCCGTCCAGACACCCACTCTCCCGGAGTATATATAGAAAGCGGGAGCAATCTGCTCGCCGTACATATAGCCAGCGCCAAGACATAACTACTAGATTTCTAGATCTCTCTCCCGCAGCTGTCTCTGGATCCCTCCGAGACAAAACCTAGAGAGAGGCAGGTGTCTCAACTGGGGCTTGGGTGGCCGGGTTCTATTCCTGGCTCTGACGCTGGCACGCTGTGTCCCCCCCCGGGCGATGGCTGTCCTCCACTGGGCTTTCATTACCTCTTTTCGTCATACCAGGAAGCTCATCAAGGTTTAACGCTTAGACCCCAAACCGCTGGGAACCCTCGCTTGATCAGGGAGGGAGAACGGGGGCGGGGGAGAACGGGGGTCCCCTTGCAATGGGTAGTCGTACATTTTCTTTGCTGGGGGATGTATGTCAAGGGTACTATCTACAAAGCATTCCCACGATTACGGGGAAACTATCTGGGGTTAAATCAACAAAGCGGATGTGGGGAAGGAACTGCTGAAGAAAACAAGCCAGGCAAGTAGCTTGGCCCATAACTGCCCTCTCGCACACCCCCTCTCCCCCAACTCAGGGTTCCAGGGTGTAAAGATCCAACCCCTCTCTCTACCCGCCTCCCCTCCAAGGCCAGCTTTCTTAAAAACAGCAAACTGTCCCCTGACATGATGGGTCCCACTGGCGCCTTTGGGAAGGTGAGGAGATCCTGAGGATTTGGCTCACTGGAGGGAGTTGGGGGGAAGGGGAGCCAGGACCTCCGGAGGAAAGGAGGTGCGCTCAGGTGCTGGGGCTGCAGTGGCTTCCCAGAGGGGTCCAGAGCTGACTGCCTCACGGGATTCCTGGGCCCTTGTTTCTAAGGACAGAGAAGAGCCAGGCTCAGGTCTTTGGTTCAAAATGCTCTGGGCATCCCCTCCCCTCTCCACCAGCCCCCAGGGCCCTCCCTGTGAGGTGCATGCTCCGAGCCCTGGAGGCAGTCTGGACTGTCTGTGACTCACAGGTCCCCAGCCAGCCCCAGGGGGGGACATGGAGCAGAGAACCCCTTCCCATTTTAGTTTGCCCACTGTGGGGCCCCGCCCCCTCCCGCGGCCCCAGCAGCAGGTGCCTGGGGACCCTTTGCCAGGGCCGTGGTCTCTGCTGCTGCCTGCTTTGCCCCCCGTCTTTGTCCCTTCACTCAGCAGCATTAGCTGGAGGGCTCCCTGGTGAAGTCAGATCCCCACCATCATCCCAAACCACAGGAGGGTCCCAGCCTCCCTTGGTCCTCACCCTCACATCTCCTCTCTTTGCCAAACACCCCCACGGGGTCCCCCATCCAAAACCTCCAGTGAAAATGGGGCAGAGACCGCTTAACAGGTGGAAGAAGCAAGAGGGACTCGGAACAGGCGAGACGCTAAGATGAGAAGACAGCCAGGGCTCCGGGCTTGCAGACCACAAACTCCTGGGTGTTTCCCATTCTGGCGGTGTCCCCTCAAAGTGGGCGGCAGTGGGGGTTGGGAGAGAATTGTAAGTGTTGGTACATGCCAGGAATTCTCTAACAAGAAAAGGGATCCTGTGCCTCCCACCCCCCACCCCCTCACCTCCAAAAGCAGAAGCAGAGTATCTTCCTCTAGGCTCCTCACCCCCCATCTTACACCCACCCCACCCCCGACCCCAGGTAAAGGGCAGAAAGAGAAGTGACCCAGGGAGGAGGGACACCCTCGGCCTCTAGAACAATGCTCAGCCCCCCCCCGCCCCGCCCCCTCAGCACCGGGCCTCCGTAATTAAAATATGAATTCACCTTCCCTCCCCGAGCCATTCATCACGGCGCAGGGAAGCAGCTGCGGCCTGGGAGACCGGATTTGGGGGATTAACTCAGGCGCTGGAGCAGACACACCAGGAGGAGGAAGAATTAGAAAGGAAGGGGGTGAACTGGGTTTTCTCTCCCCACCTCCTCCCTCTCCCGCCACCACTGAGCCTCACACCCCACCCCTTCCCCCCAAAGCCTGGCCTCTGCAGGTTTCTGGGAACTGTAGTCTCCAGGACTGTGTTGATAAACAGGCAGGCCAGGGGTGGGTGGTGGCACAGACTACAGATCCCAGGACTTCTTCCCGGAGTTGGCAGCAGCAAAGCTGGGCACAGGCCTCGTCTGGGAGAAGCCCGAGTTCTCCTTGGAGATTAACTCCTTCTTGGCCTGCGAGAGGCTGGGTCCCTGCCTCTGGCTGGCTGAGCACTCTGGCATCTGCAGGAAAGTCCTCTCTGCCCTCCATGGCTTGCTCACTCATGTAGAGGGGAAGCTCCTCCCCCCCCCACACACACACACACCTGTCAAGACTACAGGGGCACCCACACACTGGCCATTGGTTCTGAGGGACCCAGCCGTGGGAGCCGGCAGAGTCTCGAGCATAACTGAGGGCCCCCACAGCTCAGGACCCAGTGGTCCAAACTGTCAGTCCCAGAAGCCCCCCGCCCCCAGCTCACACGTGATGCCCCCCCTTGTCAAGATGAGCCAGATTGTTTTCAACAGAAAGGGGTGGTTTTAGCAGTCAAACTCCGTCTCCACTAAGACACAGGACAAGAACAACCAGAGATCCGCTTGGACCTCAGTGTAGTTAAACATGGAAGCACTTTCCCCATGGAGCCTTCTGCTGGCTGTCTCCGAGGACCACGGGAGACTTAGATGGCTCAGAATGCTAGGTTCCAGCTGTCTGCACCAGGGAACAGGAGACGCAGCCCTCTGATCTGCAAGTCGTGCCGGGAGAGAGGGCGTGGGGCCCACGACAGAGAACAGAAAGCTGCAGCTCTAATCCCGGAAGCTCCCCTGCCCGGGCCCATCCAGGTGAACTGGCCCAGGTGCGCTGCTGAGCTGTGCGCTTGCTTTGTCCCTGCTCCTGACAACTTACTACCTTCACCCCCGCCCTCACCCCCTTTCTTCAAGCTTTCAATTCCATTCATTCGACAACCATTTACCCAGAAGCCCCTACTGAGCCTTGCTGGAGCTTTAGTCGCTGGAGCAGTCATCTGCCCCCATGGTCCCGGTCCCGCCCAGTGTTGGGGCCTTCCTGCAAACTGGGCGACACGGGTCCAGCTGCAGGAGGGGTGCTGCTCCTAGCTGGCTTCTCACCTAGGAGACCCGGAGCTAAGGGAGGCAGACCGGTGCTGGGGTGTCCTCAGGGCGTGACAGGAAACAGGATAGGCTGACACTGAGCCAGGGCAGATGGATAAGGAGCGGGGAGGGAGGTGCTGGCCACCTCTGCTCTCTGGGCGGGAGAACCAGAGGTGAGTGAAAACCCTGGCAAATTCTCCTCTCTGTTCCCAGCACCATTGAAGTGGCTTGGATCCGCCCCAGCAAAACCCAGTTGGCCTGGGCTTTCTCTTCTTGTTGGATTCCTGACCCCCAGCTCTCCGGAAAGGAAAACCAGTGATTAGAGTTGGGCCCTGGGGGCAATTTGTAGACAGACGTCCAAGAGGGACGTGGTGAGAGCCCCTCAGGTGGGAACAGCACTTTCCAGTTCTGAGCACTTTGCCATGCACCAGCTGGTCGGTGCTCCCAGCCTCTGGCGTGATGTGGCGAGAGCACAGGTTCAAACCCCAGCACTGCCCCTTCCCGGCCGTGTGAACTTGGGCCACTTTCCTAGCTCCCTTGAGTCTCAGATTTCCCACAAGTGGGATAATAATAGTTCCTTTCTCAAGGGTTGCTTCCAGGATGAAATGAGCGAGCACAGGTATGATGGACAGAATTGGGTCTGACACATGGCGGGTATGAGGTAGGTATCGGCTGGGAAAATGAAAGGCTCTGAGGCATCACACGTAACTTGCCTTCTGATTCTCCCTATCAAACATAGTCCTCTGGCTCTATATTTGGTCTGTCTTAGGCAGACTGGGGGCTGGAAGGGGAGGGGAGGCGAGGGTGCTTCCTCCGCTCCTCCCGCCAGACTGCCTGCCTCAGCTCCCTCTGCGGAGTCCTCCAGGGCGGCAGGGGTGCAGGTAGGCAAGTTGCAGAGAGGACCAGGTAGGGGGAGCCAGGCGGGAGAGGGCAGGGAGAGCAGGTCTTTCATAGATTCAGCGGGAAGGGAGGAAGTGCCTGGACAGGGTAGCAGGCCAGGAGCTGGGATCCTGGGCTCCAACCAGAGCCTGTGGGGGTGGCTGCTTCCTGCTTTCTCTGCTGAAGTTCCTCTCTCCCAGTGGCCAGCCTGAGTCCTCCCATGTCAGCCACGGAGAGGACCCGGGTCTCTCTTCCCCCGACAAAGGCTGAGGATTCGAGCCGACCACGAGGAGTGAGTGAGGCCGAGAGGCAGAGGCTGTCCTGGAGGTACTGAGCAAAGGTCCAAGTGCCAAGTGGCCCAACATTCCTGACTCCAGCCCCCAATCCCAGGGCGCAGGCCAGGCCTCAGTGACGTGGCAAGGAGGCAGGAGCTGACAAAGGCAGGAGCTGACAGAGACCTCCGCGCCCCTGCACGTCTCTTTCCAGCCTCTTCATTTCAGAGTGAAGGACCAGGACCAGAGAGGGGAAGTGACTTGGCCAACGTCACACAGCCTAGCCCCAGACCCCCTGCATGCCCCGCCCCCAAACCGAGCCCCATCGGGTGCCCCTTCCCGGCGGTCTCCCAGCCTGGTCCTGAGGGAGACGCAGACGCTGCAGGAGAAGGAGCAGGCCCCTCACTGTAGCCCATGGCTTTTAGCCCTACATGAGTTCCAACGGCAATCACATAGGAATGAAAAGCCATAGGCCACAGCAGAGCGGAGGGGGTCCGGCAGCAGGAATCACAAAAGGACTCGGGGAGCTGAAGGGACTTGGATGCCCTCATGCCCCTTCCCACCCACCCACCCACACTGCCTCCTCTGAGGTCCTGGGCCCCCCAGGTTACATTCTCTCACCGGCTGGGCCGGCCCCAGAAGCATGAAAGCCATCCCAGTAATGAGTTCCCGGTTCTGGGCCCACAAAAGCCCTGCACAATGGGCCTCCCTCCGGGATGAGGGGTGGCTTCCAGGCCATAAAGGACTCCTCCAGGCCCCTTAATTAGCCTCCAGCCCCTGCCCAGGGGCCTTCACTGCACCCCCCACCCCACCCCCAGAGAATAGGGCCGGATCTTTTCACTGCACTGCTGCAGGCCCAGGACCAGCCCCGTCGGATGCTCCCCTTACCAAGTTTAACCCTTTCTAGTCCGGCCACGGGAAGCAGAGAGGGCAAGAGGGTCTGGGAGGAGGAGAGCAGAGATAAGCGCCTGCCTTTGCTGTAGAGGGACGAACACATCTGCTGAGCCCCGAAGGTGGGGGGATGGGAGATGGCCCAACTTTCCAGACGGGTCCCGGTAGTTACAGACAGTTCCATTCTCGGGCGGTTTAGAAGGCGGCAGGAAAAGGGCCAGCGCTTGACCTCCCCACCGTCTCCCACCTCCAGCAAGGAGCTAGCCATGGCGCTCGCCACCCCTGGGTGATGCTGGGGGAGAGGTGCGTGACGCTCTGCCTCCCTCATTGGCAGGATGGGGGCGGGGGGGCTGGCACAGGCACCTCCAGCTTCAGGGTGAAGGGCTGAGTCCAAGGAAACCAAGGTCTCCGGCCCCAGGAAAACGTGTTCTAAACGCAGGGCTGTCTCCTCCTCCCTCTCCCACGATGGGGCAGTGGTGGGCCTGCATCGGCCTTGGAGGAGAGTTCGGAGAAGCTCCAGGGAATTCGAATCCCCCAAGCCCAGCCTTGACCTCTCTCAGGGACCCCACACAGACCAGGCCCTGTCTCTGCCAGGCAGCAGGGGCAATCCCACCTCAGCCCTATCCCCAGCCTCTGGAGGAGGCTCACTGGCTCTCTGCGGGACCCTGGCTGCTTCCCACACTACACACACACACACACACACACCAATCTTGCCCAATTTTAAGAGCCAAACTGACACCCTCCAACTTCCCACGTGAAACTTACGGTCATCGGCCCCCAGAGCCCAGACACAGGCCCTGCAAACACTGTGGGCTCCAAGAATGCCCTCAGTCCTCTCCCACGGGGCGCTGGGCCAAGGGGCTCATGACTCCCCAAGAGCCACTGCCTGCTTCCATGCAGCCACCCACTCCCTCCCGCTTACCCCAGGAGCTCCTCGCCCAGCCACTGGGGCAGGCCTTCCGGTCCGCACGCTGCCTCCTGGTCTGAGTTGTGCACCACTGGACTTGACTCACTAGGGAAGACCTGACCCGCCCCTCCCCCAGCCCAGTGGCCGGTGGGTGTGGGTGTGGGTGGGGTGGGCGGGGCCGGCAGGAGGTCAGGTATTTCTTCAACCCTGACTCGGTTGGGCCGGAGTAACAAAGGTCTCATTGAGCCTCCGGCTGTCTGGTCAGTGAAGCACAAACCTCTTGTATCTGCTCGCTTTTGATCTCACTCCGTCTGAACACACACACCATGTATTACTCACATCCCCCTGCCAGGCTATTGGTGTGGCTGGACTCCCCTCCCTCCGCCCCTCCCCACCTCCTCTCTCCTTCCTCCCGCCGCTGCTCCCCTCTAGCTTTTTTATGCTTTGATTTTTGGCAGGAGACCTGAGGCAGCTGCCCAGAGGCCCCTTCCTCCAGAGTGCTCTCCCCACCTCTCGGCCCTAGCTCGCTCCTCTCCTCACCCAGACCGTGTCCCTGCCCAGCCTCTGCGGCTGCACCTGTCTGTCCGTCTCTCCAAGATCCTCAGACCAGCTCAGGTCTGGGCCCCATCCACTCACTCTCACCTGGTCCTTCCCTCGGACCATGGATTCCTCGCCCTGGCCGGCCCCTGGCCCAGCCCACCTCCACAGGGGGCTGCCTCTCTCCTGGGTGTTACTGGGGCCAGAAGGATTAGGGCGTGACGGGGAGGACAGCTCTCAGGTCTCAGTGGCCTGTCCAGACCTCCTGGAAGGTGGAAGGAGAAGCAGGTCAGCCAGGCCTCACCTTCTCTTCAGAGGAAACCCTGCTTTGTCCAGACCTGAGAATCTGCATTCTAGCGAAAGGCTGTCACTGGGTGAGAACCCCAAGGGTTCACCCTCCTCAAGTGGGGGCCATCCCACCATCCCTGCCTCCTCCGTGGCCGCCCCAAACCTCCTGCCGCGCTGCGGGGTGAGGACTGCACTCCTCTCCGGCTTCCCCGGCCGTTTCCCAGGCAGGCCCCTGCAGGGAGGGAGACAGTCACCTCTGAGGGCTGAGCGCTCCCCAGAAATGCCAGCAGATGCTGAGGGCTCCCATTGTCTCTGCAGGGGCCCTGCCAGTTCCCCGGGCACCACCTGTGGCCTCCTCCTCCCCTCCCCGCCCCTCAGGTACGCCATTCAGCGGAGCGGAGGAGGATTTGGGAAA